AGTCCACAAATCATCACGTTGCCAAAATTGGAGACCCCTGATCTAGACATTTTCAGCCCATGTATGGAATCACAGAATTGGGTTATTTTTTTAATACTAGATCTGATGGTAGCTTATCTGTTAGTTTGCAGCAGGAGTCTGTTCACTCAGAACACGACTCAAGGAATTCATTTTCTATTCTTCATTTCTGAAATTATGGCTGTTCTCAGCTGTTGTGTCCTGAGCCTGCAAAGGCAGGCTCGGGACGTTGCAATGGTCCCGGGCTGTTGCAAGCTGCCAGGGACCAGACTGAGAGGCACCGGCCTTGCGCGCATGCGCGAGGCGCAGAAGCGCGCCAGATTGTTACCTTTTTGCCTGGGGATTCTATTAAAGGAGACAGAGAGGCCTGCGAGCCTCAGAGTTGTGTCGGAGAGAGAACTACTGCGAATAAAGGCTGTTGGAATTAACAGAATGTGTGCTCTTCTTTCGCCATTGACTCGAGGACTCAACACCAGCCACTTCCATTCTCTTGAAAACACCCAGATCCCACAATCAACAGAGAACTGAACACACGTGACCTACACCAGGGCTTTTCAACCGGTGGTACGGGTACCACCTGTGGTCCATTGGCAGCTTGCAAGTGGTACGCGAGCATCCTAGAAAAGTGGTAGTGGGGGAGGGGAATGAGCTGAACCAGTGGCACCACCGCACAAGCCTGAGCGAGAGACGGCTGGAGCTGCAGGGCTGTCAGGGCTCAGCGGAAGCGCCAGGATCAGCGCCAGGCTCCAGCTGGAGCGAAGCACTGATCCTGGTGCTTCTGCTGAGCCCAGAAGAAGTGCCGATCGGCTGGAATGTTGCAGCCTCTCCAGGGTCTTGTGATTGACATTCAGAGGCTTGGCAACTGATTCATAATTATGACGGTCACAGTGTCCCAGGGTCATGTGAAGGGACCAAAACCTGCTGCAACCACCCAGCAGACGGGGGGAGAATAAAAACCAAACACTCCCCACCCCACTGCCAATCCTCAACAGAAATGCTCACAACAATGAAAATCTCAGACAGGAGGAAGAGCGCTGCTGGGCAGGCAGGCAGGTGTCTTGCTCGGCTGTGGCTTGGCAGGCAGTTTTTTCAGTGCCATTGTAAGTTCGAACAATCACTAAGCGAACTGTTGTAAATCAAAAACTACCAGTACTTCGTCACTTTTTTTTTTTTTTTTTGTCATCAAGTTTTTGAGACCTTGCTAGGCAACTGGTGGTCCTCGGATGTTGCCATAACCTAAAAGTGGTACAATGGGTGGAAAGGTTGAAAAGCCCTGACCTACACCTTGTTCTCATTAACAAAGCAGGAAATAATTTCAAAGGCTGTTCCTGGGTTATAACACTGTGGTTAGGCACATGACAACCTCAATAATTAAAAATGCAGACTTATAAAAGCAAGAACTAAATCCCCCAAATTAGGTTCCGCTTCACCTACCTGTTCAATTTGTCAGAGAATTGTGATAGAGAAACAGCAATTCCACCTTCCTTAGGTTCGGAATTAGCCTGTTTCATTCTATTAACAACCTGCAAGCACTGAGAATAGTCTCAACAGCATCCCTGGCTGGGCCTTGAAAGGGCCATATAAGATTAAGCATCAGAGCAAAATGCCCTAAAAAATAATCATAGAAGCCAGCAGGACATCTACGTGTTCCGTTCTTCCTCAGAGGTAATCTGTCATTCTGAACAAGACCACTGAATGCTGCTTCTCTTCCCTTATTACCACAGTGTAGGCCTGAATATGGAACCGTACCCCTAACCATGTTATCAAGAGAATTGCCTGGCAGATTACTGAAAAATTCTCCAAGCATTTTTTAATCCACCCAGATCTATCAGACCTCTGAATGGACACTCTTAATGGTGGCAATCTATCTTAAGCAGAGTAGAAAGTGAGCTAACCAAGGCAGGTGTTAGACCTGGGTTTACTGTGAACATGGACACCATGAAGGTTGTGATATGGCTCATCCATGGCCATAAGAGAAAGGAATTTTGACATCAGCCTAGAGTTTATGTTGAGGTAGTCAATCTATTGAGTTATACATTGCTAACACATTCTTTAAACCAGTGTTTCTCAACCTTGACAATTTTAAGGCATGTGGATTTCAACTCCCAGAATTCCACAGCCAGCAATGCTGGCTGTGGAATTCTGGGAGTTGAAGTCCACATGCCTTAAAATTGTCAAGGTTGAGAAACACTGCTTCAAACCATCAAAATGATGCTTATAGACATTACCAGTCACAGCATACAGAAATAAATAATGTGACAGTTTTGTTAGCAGAAGAAGTCATTATAACAGCAAAGATGTCAGGGCTGACTATTAAGCAGATTTCATGCGCCTAAAGTGGGAAAACAAAGCCAATCATTTTCCACTACATGATCTTGAACGTGTACACACTATGTTCAAAGAGAACATCAGGAATCACTTTGAATCCTTGTATGTCATTGACAGAGATCTGGAGGAACTGTGGAATAAATTCAAAGAAGTTGTTAAGATTAAACGTGAAAAGGGGCTGCCAAAGACTAAAAAACTAAATTGGATGTCAGAACAGAACAGAAAATGGGAAGAAAGAGGAGAGAAGACAAAGCTAGATAAAGATCTCCAGAAGGAACTTAGCAAAGAATTTCAGAAAGTTGTTAGAAGAAACATCTATAAAAGTACTGAAATTGGAAACTGACATAGACAAATAAAAAAAGTCTTCCAAAAGATCTCCAAATTGAGAAGGCCATTCTACTCTTGAACTGATATATTAGAGCAGTGGTTCTCAACGTTTGTGCGGCGGCACCCCCTGAGGGGAGAAAATTGCCTGGCGGATCACCTTCTTTGGCGACCCCCGAAAAATGGTCGATCGACCCCAAATGGGGTCGCGACCCATAGGTTGAGAACCGCTGTATTAGAGGATGAGAAGAAGAGGAAGAAATGGAAGAGAGAAGAAAGAGGAGAATAGCAATAGCACTTCACAGTGCTTTACACTCTCTAAGGCAGTGTTTCTCAACCTTGACCATTTTAAGGCATGTGGACTTCAACTCCCAGAATTCCACAGCCAGCAATGCTGGCTGTGGAATTCTGGGAGTTGAGGCCCACATGCCTTAAAATTGTCAAGGTTGAGAAACACTGCTCTAAGTGGTTTACAGAGTTAGCATATTGACCTCAACAATCTGGTCTTCATTTTACTGACCTTGGAAGGATGGAAGGCTGAGTCAACCTTGAGAGGTAAGGATCAAACTCTGGCAGTGAGCTAAATTAGCCTGCAATACTGCATTCTTGCCACTGTGACCCAGAGGAGGAGGAGGAGGAGGAGGAGGAGGAGGAGGAGGAAGAAGAAGAAGGAGGAGGAGGAGGAGGAGGAGGAAGAAGGAGGAGGAGGAGGAGGAGGAGGAGGAAGAAGAAGAAGAAGAAGAAGAAGAAGAAGAAGAAGAAGAAGAAGAAGAAGAAGAAGAAGAAGAAGAAGAAGAAGAAGAAGAAGAAGAAGAAGAAGAAGAAGAAGAAACCCTGAAATTCTATACAGAAAGAATATTAACATCCAATATGTTTAAAAGACATTCCTTATTTATGAGAACATATAGTAGTAGAAGATGAAGTTAAATCAGCATTCCGGTCATTATTAAGTCAGAAAACCACAGAAATTACTGGAATATCTACAGAACCACGTCAAGCAACAGAAAAAGCACAGGAATTGTTTTTAATCGATTTCCAAGCAAATCTGGGGAATGGTACAGTGGCCAAGAGGTTGAAAGAAGTCATTCAGTTTGAAATGACTTTTCAGAAGGCCGTCAATACCAAGGACAGGAGACTTCATGGAAACTCAAGAAGACACGATGCAAACTATTGCATAATCTCCTTATTTGTACATTCTTGCAAAATAAAGCTTAGGATCATCGATGCTGATTAAGAGCTATACATGGAAAGGGAAATACCGGATGTTCACGCTGGTTTTCGAGGAAACAGACATCAGCAGTCATGTATGCTAGATAATTGAGAAAGTCAAGGAATCTAAAAAAAAAAAAAAGAAAAATCTTAGTAATGTTTCCTTAATTATATATCAACACTTTTAATTGTAGCAACCACATCCGCTTGTGGAAAGCTTTGGGAAAATTAGAATTTCATAACCTTTCAGAGCTCAGTTGAGGAGCCCTGATGGTGCAGTGGTTAAAGCGCAGTATTGCAGGCAAACTCTGCCCACCGCCAGGAGTTTGATCCTGATTGGCTTAAGATAGACTCAGCCCTTCCATCCTTCCGAGGTCGGTAAAATGAGGACCTGGATCGTTGGGGGCAAATAGGCTGACATTGTAAACCACCCAGTGTGCTGTAAAGCAGCTATGGCAGTGTTTCTCAACCTTGACAATTTTAAGGCATGTGGACTTCAACTCCCAGAATTCCACAGCCAGCATTGCTGGCTGTGGAATTCTGGGAGTTGAAGTCCACATGCCTTAAAATTGTCATGGTTGAAAAACACTGAGCTATGGGGTGGTATATAAGTCTAAGTGCTATTCCTATTGAGGTCACAAGTTGAGGACTACTAGTTTCAGCTAAAAGATCTGCTCAGTTTTCCACTCCCCCTGCATGAGAAGGGAAAGTGCAATTGCATAATTTTCTTATTCAGCCTAAATGGGGTATCTGAGGGAGGCTGGAACTTTCGGCAGCTGAAGAACAAGTTGGAATTTCATTGGAAAGTATCTTTCGCCCTTCGGTTTTTCTCTTGTGTGCTGGGACACCAGCTAGTGCAGCTGTGACGTTGATGCATTTCTCAGGCCCAGCAGAAACACCCCCCAAAGAAAAGGCTGCTGGGGAAAAAGACCCCGACAACCTGTTTTTCTTTTATCCTGCCTAATGAAAAACATGCTTTTCCCACAGAGCTTTCACTGAAACAAAAACAAAAAAAAAGTAATTGGGTTATTATTTCAGTGCAATTAATCAAGGGCGATGCATCACTTTGTTAAGAGTTCCAGAAAAGTTTCCTCTCTCCCTGCCAGCAATCTTTTGTCCCAGAATGCAAAGACAGTCTGGTTTATATTGTGAAACTGCTCCATGCAGACTTATAGGCACAAGACCGTTCGGGGGAAAATGACTGTATAAGAGTAAATTAGGCAATGCACAAGGAACTGTGGCTCTACCTGTGGTTCACGGATTAGAAAAATGTATTAATAATAATCTATTAATAATCTTGCTTGTGTGGACAAACTAATCAAGGAGAGAAGCAACCTAGAACTAAGGAGAAATTTCCTGGCAGTTAGAACAATTAACCAGTGGAACTCCTTGCCTCCAGAAACTGTGAATGCTCCAACACTGGAGGTTTTTAAGAAGAGACTGGACAGCCATTTGTCTGAAACGGTATAGGGTTCCCTGCCTGAGCAGGGGGTTGGACTAGATGACCTCCAAGGTCCCTTCCAACTTTATTATTATTATTATTATTACATATTATTTTTTAAAAATAAAGAATTGCTACTTGAATCTATAGCAGTAGATGGAATTTCCTCTTTCCCTGGATATTTCAGCTGATCTTACTTCCAAATGTCTTTAAACTGAACACTGGTTTCATATAGATAGATAGATAGATAGATAGATAGATAGATAGATAGATAGATAGATAGATAGATAGATAGATAGATAGATAGATAGATAGGAGTGTTCATGGTTTCCCAGAGGTGCTTTCTCAAAAGGCAACTGGGTTTTGTTTTTCCTTGAAGATGTTTCGCCTCTCATTTCAAGAAGCATCTTCAGTTCTGACTGAGAGGGGGAGGATGGAAGGATTTATATTCCTCTGCAGTCATCTGATTGTTAGTGCTCTCTCCAAGAGTCAGATCTGGGGCCCTTGGAGGTTTATCTGTGCCCTCAGGCTCAGCAGAATAGTGCGTTAATGGTTTCCGTTTTTCCACTCCATTGCTCAGCTATTGTTGTGTAGAATGAGTTAATGATATACTAGAAGAAAAGCTGAACTGCTAATGGGGGCTCCCATTTTTAATGGCATTCCCTCTGCTTTTTAAGATTACTTCTACTGCTGCCTGATAGGCCTTATTTACTTAAAACCTCAGCCTCATTTGCTCTTTTTTTTTCTCCACTTCTGCCCATGTCTCCCATCAATGCCAAGTTTCAGGCCCTCATGTTTAACAGAATAATGGAGCTGGAAGGGACCTTGGAGGTCTTCTAGTCCAACCCCCTGCTCAAGCAGGAGACCTGGAGGACTGGAGGCTAAAACATATAAGGAACGGTTGCTGGAATTGGGGATGTCTAGTTTAATGAAGAGAAGGACGAGGGGGGACAGGATAGCAGTCTTCCAATCTCTCAGGGGCTGCCCCAAAGAAGAGGAAATCAAGCCATTCTCCAAAGCCCCTGAAGGCAGGACAAGAAGCAACGGATAGAAACTCATCAAGGAGAGAAGCAACCTGAAACTAAGGAGAAATTTCCTGACAGTGGGAACAATTAACCAGTGGAACCACCTGCCTCCAGAAATGGTGAATGCTCCAACACTGGAAGTTTTTAAGAAGAGACTGGACAGCCATTTGTCTGAAACAGTATAGGGTTTCCTGCCTGAGCAGGGGGTTGGACTAGATGACCTCCAAGGTCCCTTCCAACTTTATTATTATTACTATTATTATTAAGAGTCTCTTTTGTGGTAGCCAGAGAGAAACTTTGCAGCACTTCAAGGCTTAAAGGGAGCCTTAGTTCTTTATTTGGTTGTGGCTCCTTCTCATTCCCCAGCTGGCACTTGATTCAACCTGAATTTCAGAACAGAACAGAACAGAACAGAATAGAAATTATAGAATGGAATACAATGGAATGGAACGGAACAGAACAGAATAAAATAGAAAATATAGAATGGAATAGAAAATATGGAATAGAATAGAATAGAATAGAATAGAATAGAATAGAATAGAATATATGGAATGGAATTGGAATTGGAACAGAACAGAACAGAACAGAACAGAATAGAATAGAATAGAATAGAACAATAAGAATGGAATGGAATGGAATAGGATAGGATAGGATAGGATAGGACAGGACAGGACAGAACAGAACAAAATAGAATACAGCTGGAAGGGGCCTTGGAGGTCTTCTAGTCCAACCCCCTGCTCAAGCAGGAGAACCTATAGTACTATCCCAGACAGGTGACTGCCTCTTCTTAAAAGCCTCCAGGGATGGGGCACCCATGATTTCTGAAGGCGAAGCTGTTCTAATAAACTGATAATCCTCCACCCCTTTCCGTCTTCCTCCCCTCCCGCTAATTTTTCAGTTTTACACATACATGGGAGAGAGAGAGTGAGAGAGAGAGAGAGAAGGAGTGGGAAGGCAGACATTGTATTAATATTGCTCTTTCACTTAGTATAGCACACTCTCTGCAACCCAGTTTCTCTGGCCAAACCACATACTTACGACGACGGCCTCATCGCCTGAGTCGGAGGGAGTGGGTTCTCATTGGCTGTTCCTCTCTCCTGATGCCATTCAGTCAACGCTGTCAGTTTCCTGTTGGAAGGGAAAATCTGAAGTGTGACTGATATTCAAAGAGAAGTTTAATGACTTGAAGTAACCCCAGTTTTAGGAGGACTTATCATGTGGTTTTGTTACTCAGAGCACCTGGTGATTCGTTCATTCATTCTTCATTCATAAACGGAAAAGTAATTTTTTTGCAATAAATAAACTAGAGTGATGTGAGTAGCCAAAGTTCTGATAAACTTACTTAAATAATTGTTGTACTGTGAGAAATAATTAACAGATGGTGAGGACACTTTACAGAGGTAAGCCGAGCTGTGGTTAAGCAGAAAAAGGTGGCTGAATCCTATTTGGGCAAGCTATCCCGGTTAACTCAATGTGGGCTACTTTTGAGCACAAATATACGTTGACACTGCAGTTGCAATCTGAAACACTCTTAGCAAGGAGTAATCCCCATGGAATTTAGAGCATCTGCGCTGTTAAATATATTGGCAGAAAAGTCTGCATTAAACTCTTAATGCAAAATGTTTAATGTTTTCCACCAAGAGAAAACAAAGCCCCAGGTTAGAAACTGGGAGTTTGTGAGTTCTAGTCCTGCCTCAGTACAAAGCCAGCCGGGTGACTTTGGGCTGGTCGGTCTCTCCCAGCCCTTGGAAGAGGAAGGCAGGGGCCAACCACTTCGAAAAACAATGCCAAAAACCTGCAAGGACTTGTCTGTGGAGACACCAGAATTCAAGACAGATTTGAACACACCACACACCCCTCCCCAACACAGGCGGTCCTCAGCTTGTTTCCATCCGTTTAGTGGTCCTTCAAAGTTACGGCGGAATTGAAAAAAGTGACTTATGACAAGACCATTGCGACACCCTCATGGTCATGTGACCACAATTAGTACACTTGGCAACTGGTATGTATTTATAACGGGCACAATATCCCGGGTCACGTGATCCCCATTTGCGACTTTCCCAGTTGGCTTCCGAAAAGCAAAGTCAACGGGGGAATCTGGATTTGCTTAATGGCCACACGATTCACTTAACAACGGTGGCAAAAAGGTCATAAAATTGGGCCCTTGACTCCCTTAGCAACCAAGTTGCTTAGCCATGGTAATTCTGTTCCCGACTGTGGTCGTAGGTTTGAGGACTACCTGTGAAGACCAGCTACGTGCAGCTGAAAGGGTGCAGGGCCTCTGTTCTCCTTTGCTAGAAGCCCAACAGAAGTGAGGCTACTTGGGAACACAGCCACGATTCGTTCTCCATGAAGAGACAGACACTCCTGCTGGTCTCATTCACACGTCCTCCTGAACCTAAAAACAGGGTCTGCAAATCACAATGCATAGTTTTATCCACTGTGCTAAGTGATCAGGGCGCAGGCGGCTAGATTCTGTGCAGCAGCATTGGGGATTCGCCAGAAACATAAATAATCATTTTAGATCAGTGGTTCTCAACCTTTTTAATGCCGCGACCCCCAACTGGTCGTAAGTCAAGGACTACTCAACCAGTCGTAAGTCGAGGACTACTCCACTGGTGCAGCACCGTTTGCAGAAGGGGACTTTTGGCGGGCTCAGCAGGGCAGAGACAGCCTGGACAATTCCTATTGGCTTTTGAAAGCCAATAGAATTAGACTCTATTCAAGAGAGTCTATTCTATTGGCTTTCAAAAGCCAATAGAATAAAAGGGAGTAGCACAGCTAAGGAAAAGGGGGAAAAAATGGCGGACTGCGTTGTTTGGCGACCCCCGTGAAATGGTCGTTCGACCCCAAATGGGGTCCCGACCCACAGGTTGAGAACCACTGTTTTAGATCTTTTTAATAATCTTTTATAATTGATTTTATTACGTGTTTTATCCAGTTTTAGACTATATTCAACATATTTTTATTGTCCGGTCAGTATGACTCAGTTTTTCTGAAGCTAGCTTGTTTTTGATATACTGTCTGTAAAACGAGGCAGACCTTGGTCGCCCATTGATTGCATCGTGGATTGTGATGTACTGCTATGTCCTCTTGTGATGGTTCCGTTTAGTTTTGTTTTATTTGGATGTTTGATTTATGTGTGGCCCTTGGCTGTAATAAATTGAATTATACTGTGCTAGGCCCATATAGTTCTCTTTAAGCCCAAGAAATGGTGGGTTTAACTTACAAACAAGCAGATTTTATTTTGCTACCAGGAAAATTTTTATAACAGTGAAAACTGTTGGGAGATGATAGCATCTTCTTTAGAGGGGCTAGATAGCCATTTTCCAGAGATGCTTGCACCCAGGGCCCTTGAACCGGATCATCTCCCTTCTAGCTGATTCATTCTATGACTTTATGAAATCATATTACAATTTATGAAATCATATTACAATTTATAATAAGGGGAGAAACATCATTGCTCAAACAAGTTCATTTTAACCTTGACTAATTTTGAAGGGGGGGGGGACGTTAGAGGATTTTGTCATCCTGATATTGGGTGAACCTAGAAAAAAAGATAAAGTCAGTAATCAAGTAATCAACTGCTGTGGGAATGGAGGCATTTTGTCAAAAATTAAAAGAAAAAACTTTAGGGCCACTGCGGGACATGGAATTACATCTAGGATATGGGGATTTAATCTGTGTGGCTGGATTTTAATGGCATGAACTCTTAGCATAGCACAGTAAGGTGGAAAAATTCCGGCCTGGGGCACCACAAAAGGTGGATGGTCAGAAAAATCATGATGACACATGTAACTCTGGGACCTTCAGCACAATTGCTAAGGGGAAATGAGCTAAAAGTGCTCGTTGCATCAACTCTACATCTTGGCAAAATAACGGGACTGCATGATGGTATTTCACTTAGAAGCCCTTGATTGGGTCACTCGCTTCCATGGTTGTCTACCTCCTAATTAGGAAATTGGGCTAGACAAAAACCAGTTGCCAAACTATCTTCTCCCAATCTGCCTGTTCCTGATCTTCTGCAATACTCTTTTCAAAACATTTCAGAGCCCTGAACTTTAGCATCGTTGGCCAAACAATGCATCCGTACTTTTCATATAATTACAGAAACTCCATCTACCGTCGGTTCTCTTGGGCTGTTTCAAAGCTTCTTCTGAAGGAGACTGCAGGACAGCTTGATGGGCCCTTCATGTTTTTCAGGGTACCATCTTGTTCTCTTGTTCAGGAGAGGGAAATCTGCCGTGAAAGTACAGCTCCATCAGCCTCCGTCCAAAGACAGCCATTGGATGACGTCAAGAAGAGGAAGGATATAAGACTGAGAGTGGCAGAATGAGATGCCTGTCTCACCTGTGGGCTGTGGAAAAGATCAAACCGTATGAGTTGAAGGGGAACAAGGAGGGAAACTCCTGTTATTAGGGAATTATTGCAGAACAGAATAACAATTGGAAGGGATCTTGGAGGTCTTCTAGTCCAACCCCCTGCTCAAGCAGGAGAACCTATACCATTCCAGACTCAAAGTTATCCAATCTCTTCTTAGAAACTTCCAGTATTGGAACATTCACCACTTCTGGAGGCTGGTTGTTCCACTGGTTAATTGTTCTAACTGTCAGGAAGTTTCTCCTTAGTTCCAGGTTGCTTCTCTCCTTGATTAGTTTGCATCTGTTGCTTCTTGTCCTGCCTTCAGGCGCTTTGGAGAATAGGTGGACCCATTGTAGGCTTGGTCTCCAAGGGGCAGGTAAATCATTTCATGGGTAAGATGGTCTTTGGCTTACCACCATTCATTTAGCCATGGTTCAAAGTTGCAACAGCACTGAAAAAAGTGGCTTACAGGTCCTCACGATTACAAGCATTGCAGTGTGTCACATGATCAAAATTTGGGCACTGGGCAACCAGCCTGTATTTATAACGGTTGCAGTCTCCCAAGATCAGGTGATCACCATTTGCGACCTTCCCACCAGCTTCCGACAAACAATGTCAGTGGGGAAGCTGGCGGGAGGTGGCAAATGGTGACCGCGCGACCACCGGACTGCAGTTGTGCAGAATTTGATTGACAGTCACAGAGGTGCCACTGTAAGTCAATGCAATTACATGACACTGTACTTTTCAACTGCATCACTTAGCGACAGAATTGTCACTCCCAATTATCATAATTAAGCAAGGACTAATTGCAGCATCCAGTGGCTGCATTTCTGCAACTGACCAAATCAAGGCTAATTGCAGGAGCAAAGCAGGCAGAGCTGGGGGGGAGGGGCAGAGTTAAACATAAGTTTGGAATCCTTACAAAGCCATAAAGGATCCAAGTTCAGCCTCCCTCGAATTCCATTGACCCCTATCTGGTGCCGATTCAGATTTGCACTTTAGTTGACTAGATTCTTATGGATCAGTTTGAGCAATAAATCCTTCCGAATTGCCACTTAACCATGGCCCTGATCCTCTGTGCTTGACATTAATCTAACTAATTACTACCTTTAATTCTGCCCCCCCCCCTTCCCCAGCTTTACCTGCTCTTATCCTGCTCTGGTCAAAATTAAGACTAACCAGGCTTAGCACATTGTGTGAATAAAACTGCTTGCTCTTCCCCTAATTCAGGTGAACATGTGAATCTGCCAGTGTGTTTGGCGGTCCAACACGTTGCAAAGAGTGGGACACCAAAACCTACCCTAAAATCCTACTCTAAGGGCACCACAGAAAAATATAGAATTTCAAATTGGGATCTCTTGGGCAGGAGATCATCTCCCAAACATCCACATGGAAACATTTCCTAAAAGCCAAAAGACTGAAAAACACAGTCCTGGTACAACAGTACAAATAACTTCCATATTTCAGCATGATGCTTTTTCTCATAACTCAGTTAAATGCTTCAGCATTCCTTATCTTCGTCTATTGCTAAATAATTTAAGGAACCTTGACCGTTGACTGCTTATAGACTTGTTACCAATGGGGCCTGCAGCACAAGTGGGCCGCTACACATCTGGAATAGCGTTTCCCTTGCGATGAAGCCGGCCCTTCTCTTTTTAGAAGCCCAGGTTGATGGACTATGGTGGTGATACTCTGTGCGGTTCCCTGTGCGCTGCGCAATTGAAAGAGGCAAATTAGCTGCAAATGTCAGGAAATGGACCGTGACATTTCAAATTATGTTCATGGCTATTTTA